AAATTTGAAAGAGATGCTTTGTTTGAAAACTTAAACTTATCCGGTAATCTGAAAGCACTTCTCAATAACAAAAATTCTGAAAATGTCCAAGCAATTGCTAAGTTTATCAGCGACTGTTTCTCTAAAAGAGAAAACTTCATGAAAAGCAATTTACCAGCTGCCTCACAGTATTACTATTTATTTATTTCCTTTTTTTTCATTATTATTACTTATGTATTTTATTGTTCCTTATATCCTAATTGTATTCTAATCTAGATCCCAGAGGGGATACGATATCAATAAAGATTATGGTTGTTGTTACTCTAAAGAGTTGTAAATTGGTGTACTTCCGGTTAATGGGTGGAGCCATTTTGTTTGTTGTTGTTTACAAATTATATGAAGCGAAAAACTCATTCATGATATTCAGAATCGTCAACACCCTGCACAAAAATCATACATGGCAATACGCTGACCAAAAGCAATGGGTCGAATGTAAATTAGAAAGAACATGTATTGTGACGAAAATAAATTGGGACTAATCGACTTGTGGGTCGAATGTGAATTGACCGCCAAACAGATTCTAACTCTGCCACTGTTATAATAAGTATCACAGCACACCAAAATGTTTTTCTCCATGTAGTTGAAAGCAGGTACCTGAATAACATGACTGAATTCTTCATAAGCGCGTCTCTTCAAGTGCGCAGCCATTTTTTATGTATTCAACAATAAGTTTACAGAACGTCGTTCATATTTATTTATTTTTTATTTTACCGTAGTAAAACGATTGTAAGTTGAAATTACTATTTATATGTCTGTATGAGTATTTCGATTTGATTTAAATATAAATTGTATTTTTTACTCGACATCGCCTATCGCTGATTAACTTGTGACGAACACCAAGCTGAGAATAACTGAATTCATTGCGAAATCTAACATGGCGGCCCAGGTAATTCTAATGTTCGTTATTAAAATAGTAACATGTGTATTATAGTGGTGTGTATAAAGCGTTCACGTTGAATGAATATACACCACTGTAATATGGAAAAATTCTTGTTTAAAGTAGATCAGTGTACATATTATTTGCGGGTCAATCCAGGTCAAATCAGTTGTAACTTTTCAATGTAAATAACGACGTGGGGGTGTAGTATATTTTATTTGGCACGAAATAATGCATTGAATTACATTATCTATGGTCAATAAACATACAACAACAACAAGTAACAAACATCAATAACAAATAAAACAATAAGTAAGCAAAGAAATATAAAATATTAGTAGTACATGTAATAAGAAACAAAAATAAAATTTAGATATTGTTAGACATTATAATTTGATGAACAAATTTTCCGAGACTGTTAACAATTAAACTATCATTTGAGGTAAATAATTTTTTAAGTAAGTTATCCTTAGATAATTCTTGAATTTTTTCATCATAAACTGAAACCATATTTAGAAATTGTATACGACTATTCTTAATTTCAATATTTTCACAGTCCATGACATGACACATCACATCACATCACATAGATCACATAGTGTACAAATTCGTTCTTCTGGAGGTATTCCTTGATATCTCAACTTTTCAATTGGAAGTGAATGAGCTGAAATTCTAAACCTAGTTAAGCTGGTTCAATGTTTTATATTTTTCATAACGTCCAGGTATGGCTCAAATTTGAATGCTAATTTTATTTTGTTGTACATGTATGTTCGTAATTTGTTATTTTCTGCTTTTTGTAGACTTTGCAACCACATTTTTT